GCGCGGCGGTCAGCGTGGGCGAGGCAGCAGGCCCCGCACACCTCTGCTGCTACAGGGCCGTGTCCAGGGCGTCTGAACAGAGGCCGGCCAGTGGTCAGAGCTTGGAAAATAAACGCGGTTAAAGGTCTTTCTTTCTTTCTTTTCCACGTAAGAGGTCCTTCTCTCTCTCTCTCTCTCTCTCTTTCGGAGATACCTGGATTTGGTCCAGAACAGGTTGCCCGCGGGAGGGCCCCGCGAGCGGCAGCGCGCGAGGGAGGGAGAGAGGGAGGGAGGGCGAGAAAGAGGGAGGGAGGGAAGGAGGGCGGGCAGCGGCGGCGGCGGCGGCTGCGGTGGCCGGGGCTTCCCTCCCCCGGCGGGAGGCGGCTGCCCTGCATCTGTGGCCGTGGGGAGCCGAGGAGCAGGTAACGAAGGCGCTTCCCGAGGCGGGATTGGACCAAGCCAGAGGGACGGAGTCTTCCGGGTCTCTGCCCAACGCCCTGGAGGGGAGAGAAGGTAGGGAGATCGGCGCCTGCCTGGCCTGGCAGAGAGGCCTCGGGAGTGTTGAACCTGCATTTGATTTTAGGCTCACACTCATGTTGTGAGTCTGTCTGCCTCCGGAGATGCGGTTTGCCTGTCTGTCTGTCTGTCTGTCTGAGACGTCCCAGACCCTAGGCTCTCCTTCCAAAAGCTGAAAAAAACGGGAATTTTCGTCGGAATGTGCACTTTCATTCATTGGATTCGCCGCAACACAGCAGGGCTGGTTGCTGCGCCCCCAAGTTGGAAGGGAGCTCTCCTCCAACGTTCTGGATGCCGGATCCTCTGGTTCCCTCCGGCACGGGCTGAGTTTCCGGCTCCAGGTTCGCGGGTTGCCCTGAGGTTTGAGGCCAGACAGCTCCTAGTCTGGCAGGGAGGGCGGGGGAGAGACTAGCGGCTCTGGCCCCTTAATTGTACTTCGGGCCCCGTATTGTCTCTCCTTTCGCCACCTCCGCTTCCTCAGTCTGGGCTCCAAAGTCACTGCAAATTTCCTTGCGACACACACATCACACAAAGATCAGGTAACAAGGCGCCCAGAGCCATGGGGGCTTCGGGCAGAGAGCACCCCTGGTTCTGGGGCCGCTCCTCCTTCAGCCACTCCCCAGGCTGGGAAACCAGACCCGGGTTGGGGGAGCCGGAAACAGCCCCGTTTGCTGCGGGGCGGCAGGGCGGGCGGGGGGCCGGCGGGAATGCAGGCCGTGGCGTTGAGAGGGCCACGTTCACAGGCCCTAGGGGTTTCACTCCTGCTGGGCTTAGGGGCCTGACTCCTGGCTTGTAGGGATCCCAGATACCCACCTGGGGTGGGGGCAGGACGCGGTCTCCTCGCGGCGGGCCAGGAGAATTCAGTTTCTGCTTCCAGCGCAGGCCTTAGCCAGGAGGAGTTGTGTGTGGGTGTGTTTTTCCCAACAAAGAGGGACCAGGAACGAGAAGGGGGGAAAGAAGAGGGGAACCGGGGAGGGGGCGGGGAGGGGGAGAGGGCAGCGGAGAGGTGAAACGAGCCCATTTCAGGGGGAGAAGGAAAATGAAAGCAAATGGAGCACGGCCTCCTCCGCGCGGGCGGGTGCTGACGAGCCGGGGAGCGGGCTCCCTGCCTGCGGCGGCTGCGGACCGGGAGAAAAGCCTGTTTTAAATTTAATCCGAACTTGACGGTGTGGATTGAACCGGAGGGAATTTAAATCACTGAGAGGGAGGCGCAGAGCAAGGGGAGGGGATGACGCTAACCTGTCCGTCTGTCTGTCTGTCTGTCCTTCCCACGGTGGTGCTAGCTTGGTTGTGGTCGCAGCTGTGCAGGTCTGAGGTGATGGAGTAAAGGTGCCCCTCCCCCTTAGGGGGCTCTCCTGTGCCTAGTGTAATCTTTTGGGGTCGGAGGCAAGCTCTAAGCACCAGAGCGGATGCAGAAGTGCCAGCTAAAGCTGGGGTTTCCCCCCCTCCCCAACAGGGACTCCCAGTGTCCTCCAGTCCCTCGGGTTTGCCCCATCGGTGCTGAGGAAAATTGAAGGGAGTGGTGGGGGTAAGAGGGAGTCTGGGAATCTGGCAGGAGATTCAGAAGGAGTAGGTGATCCTGGAAAGACGAGCGATTCCTTACTGGTGCCCCCACATCCTTTGTGCCCCCACATCTATAGGCCTGGCTTTGGGGGTGTGTGGGGGGAGCCTGAAGTTCTGCTTCAGGGCCCTGACCTGCCTGCCATCCCACCTCCAAATGCAGAGACTAGGGGGTACAGCCCACATGCAGCTGTGGAGCCCGAGGGGCCTCGGCCTGGTGAACTCAGGGACTCCCAGTCTCTTTCAGCCCCCTCCTCATGGCTGCTGCTCTCTGCAAGGCCTAGGCAAAGCGGGGCATTGGTGGGGAGGGGGCTGTGGGCGAGGCCTGCTTCCTGATCCACAGCTGTGTCTGTGCCTGAGTGGGGAGGGTCTGAGTTCACGCTCTCAAACGAAGGCGACAATCTCCCCTCAGTTTCACGGGGAATTTGACGGCAGCAGGGAGCCTGGGCCTTGGGATCCCGGCTGCCCCGCTGCTGTCGCCTCTGCTGGGTGGGCAAGCCGGGTGGGCAGGCAGCTCAAGAGTTGAAAAGAAGGCAGTGGCCAAAGGGGGTAGGAGAGAAAGGGGCATCTGCTTACAGCCACTCTGTCTGAAGGGCTCTCCCAAATAGTAGAGGCCCATGGAAGACGGTCTTTCGGGGCGCCTTTCTTCTAGGAGACCTGAGGTTGGGGCAGATGGGCCCTGTCGCCTGGCGAAGACGAAAAAGGAGGAGCAGGGCTTGAGACCTTCTCCTTCATCATGTCTTCTTAGCTCCTTGGCTAGAGCGTGGCTCAGCCCCCAGCCGCCTGGGTGGCTGCCTGGGCTGAGACGGGGTTCCACATCCCCCCCGGAGGCCTAGTGTACCCACCCCAGCAGGTCGCCCGGGAGGGGCCAGAGAGGAGGCCTCTTTCTCCTTTGTGTCCGGACAGAAGTGGCCGCCGCGCCCTGAGCCGGGTCCCGCGGCAAAGGCCCGGCAAGCAAGCGGACTGCACAATGCCACGGCTGCTCCCAGCTCGCGCCCTGCCCCGTCCTGCCTGCCTATCGCCGCCCTTCCTCCCTCACACTCCCCGCATGCCTTCCTCTCCCTGCTCTCCCATCTCTTTTCATCTTGCCCCCCCTCTTTCCTTTAATTCTCCCCTCTCCTTTTCTTTTTATCCCAGCCCTCCGTTTTCTTCTCTTTCCCTCCTTCCTTCCTCTCCATGGGCCTGGCGCCGCGTTTCAGTTGTTATGTCTCAGGCTCAGTCTCTCTCAGGCTCTGTCCCCTGATGTCCTCTAGGTCTCTGTCTGGCCCCCGGGCCCGCTGAAGGCTACGCGTCTCTGCTCATTGCTGTCAGCAGCCGCCCAAGAGCCAGGCAGGGTCCCCAGCCGCCAGGGCTGGGGGAGGTGCTGACGGTGCTGGGGATTTGGAGAAAGCCTCGGCAGGGGGACAGGAGGGAACCTCCTGTCTTTTCCTTGAACTAGTGAGGGAGAAATTTTGATTGACAGCTAGCCCGACTCCATCAAGGCCAAAGAGATATTCTGTTTCTTGCTGTAATTTGGATTTCCCACACCAGTCCAGTCCGGGGGAGGGGAAGACAATCAGAGCTGAGGGCGAAGAGGCTGAGGCCCCGGGTTGTCTATCCCCAGCCAGGCACTTCTCACACACCCCCCGTGAGTCGAAATCTCAGCCCCGCTAGACCGAAAAGGAAAGAACCGGAGAGGGGGAGGAGCAGGGACTGGGGAGGGGGCCTGGAAAGCTGGGGTCAGTGCTGCAGGCTGTAGATCTCCC